TGCACCCGTGGAAGAGCGGAGGGGGCACAGCACCAGAGGCAGCGGCGACGGAGCGGAGGTTGCTCTCGACGTCCTTGAGAGCAGACTCAAGGACGTCAATAGTGAGCTCGCTAGGGTGCTTCAGGAGAAGCGCGTCACGAACGGAGGCAAGGCGGTCGGGGAGGCTGGTGGCGATAAAATAGATAGTAATCGCCATGGGAGGAGGAAGCAGTGCGAGCTGGGCCTCAGTGCAAGCAGCGCGGTAACTAGAGTCGAGCGAGCGGAGGTGAGCAATCAAGTCAGCAGAGCGCTCAAATGAGGCGAGATCAGGGAACAGGAACGGGAGGAAAAGGCGGCCAAGAGAGACAGCAGCAGGAGTGGAGTAGCGGGCCTTAATCGCAGTCAGGTACTCAGCAGCAGTGCGAACCTGAGCAAAGTGAGCCTCCTCAGACTCAGGGAGAAGGGTGCTGAGCGCGATGCAGGCCGCAGCGTCACGCGACGTCCAAGCTGTCAGGTCAGCGCGCTGGCTAGCGAAGCGAGCTCTAGCGGCGTCGTCAGGGGCAGGACCTAAAGGCGTAGGGTCGGGGGGCGCAGGGAGGGCACCAGCAGCGTGCGCCCAGAGGGTCTCGCCTGACTGGACCTGACTCTCTAACTGACGGCGAGCGCGCAGAAGCCAGAGCGAAAAGTCAAGGGGTCTACCGTCAGCGTCGAAGCGAAGAACACGCGGAGTCGCCATCGTTAAAACCGACGGAAAAGCGGAGGCAGGAAACCCTAAACGAGATGGCGTGGCTAAAATCGGGCGGGCAAAGGGCGAAGCGGGAAACCCTAAACAAGGCAGAGGCGCAGCTAAACGGGGGGGAACGTTAAGGGGCAGCCGCACGGGGGCTAAGGGCAGCCGCGCGGGCGCGGGGGCGGGCGTTAAGGGGCAGCCGCGCGGGGGCTAAGGGCAGCCGCGCGCGCGACGCGACGAGCAGCGAAGGCGGGCGCCGCGGCGACGGGCGCAGGCTGCGGCGGGCGACGGGGGAAGGCGCAGCGTGGTGGCGCGCGTAAGGGGGGGACGGGCGACGGGACGACGGGCGGGGAGGGCTCGATTCGACGGGCAGCAGGGGGGGAAACGCGACTCGACGGGCAGCGGGGGGTAAAACGCGACTCGACGGGCAGCGGGGGGGAAAAAAAAAACGCGACTCGACGGGCCTCGGAGGGGGGAAAACGCGACGGGCCAGCAGGGGGGAGGAAGGTCGCTACGCTACTCGAGTAGGGGATCGGCAGAGAACGGGGGGGGTAACGAAGGAACGGGACGAGAGCGGGCCGGCGCTAGGCTCGGGCAAGACGTGCGTAAGTAATACGAGAGAGGGAGACAGGCTCGGGCGATACGAACGAGGTCGGGAGGAACGGGATCCTGGTGATACCATGTTAAAATCGGAAGTGTTGTTTCATTGATGGTGGTTGGGGTACAAGTAGCAAACCCTAACATACGTACCCCCTAAGACACATCTCACTACAGGCTACCAACATTTGACAGAAAGGCAGTGCAGGGAGGGGAAAGGCAGTGCAGGGAGGGGAAAGGCAGTGCAGGGAGGGGAAAGGCAGTGCAGGGAGGGGAAAGGCAGTACAGGGAGGGGAAAGGCAGTGCAGGGAGGGGAAAGGCAGTGCAGGGAGGGGAAAGGCAGTGCAGGGAGGGGAAAAGCAGTGCAGGGAGGGGAAAGGCAGTGCAGGGAGGGGAAAGGCAGTGCAGGGAGGGGAAAGGCAGTGCAGGGAGGGGAAAGGCAGTGCAGGGAGGGGAAAGGCAGTGCAGGGAGGGGAAAGGCAGTGCAGGGAGGGGAGAGTACTTCGCTAGGCGACGGAAGGCCGAGAAGGGAAGGGAGGCGCGGCCTCTCACTAGGCGACGAAATGAGCGGGAGAAGGGGGAAAATGAGCGAGAGAAAGGGGGGGACATGACAGGGAGCAGGGGGCTCATGAGAGGAGAAAAAGGGGGGAATGAGGGGGAGCATGGGGGAATGAGGGGGAGAATGGGGAGAAATAAGGAGGAGAAAGGGGGGCAATGAGCGGGATAAGGGGGGAAATGAGAGGGAGAAGGGGGGGAAATGAGAGGGAGCAGGGGGGGGGGATGAGAGGGAGAAAGGGGGAAAATGAGAGGGAGCACGTGGGGCAATGAGAGGAAGAAGGGGGGGAAATGAGCAGGTGAATGGGGGGAAAATGAGAGGGGGAAAGGGGGAGGTGGGAAGGGGTAATGGGGAGAGGGAAGGCGACACGGGGAGGCGGGAAGGGGTAATGGGGAGCGAGAAGGGGAATTGGGGAGGCAGGAAGGGGAAAAGGGGGGGCGGGAAGGGAGCAGGAAAGGTATGGGATGGGGCTTGGAGGGGGATGGGAGAGTACCACAGGGGGGTATCACAAGGGATGGAAGGGTATGGCGATGAAAGGTTATGGCAGGGGAAGGGGAAATGGGGAGGCGGGAAGGGGAAATGGGGAGGCAGGAAGGGGAAATGGGGAGGCGGGAAGGGGAAATGGGGAGGCGGGAAGGGGAAATGGGAGGCGGAAAGGGGAAATGGGGAGGCGGGAAGGGGAAATGGGGAGGCAGGAAGGGGAAATGGGGAGGCGGGAAGGGGAATGGGGAGGCGGGAAGGGGGAACGGGAGGCGGAAAGGGGAAATGGGAGGCGGAAAGGGGAAATGGGAGGCGGAAAGGGGAAATGGGGAGGCGGAAAGGGGAAATGGGGAGGCGGGAAGGGGAAATGGGGAGGCGGGAAGGGGAAAGGGAGGGAAGGGGCGGGGAAGGGGTAAAGGGGATGCGGGAAGGGGAATTGGGGAGCGGGAAGGGGAAACGGGGAGGCGGGAACGGGTAATGGGGAGCGGGAAGGGGAATTGGAGAGGTGGGAAGGGGAAACGGGGAGGCGGAAACGCGAATTGGGGAGGCGAGAAGGGGAAACGGGGAGGCGCGAAGGGGTAATGGGGAGCGAGAAGGGGAATTGGGGAGGTGGGATTGTGAGATGGCGAGGCGGCAAAAGGGAAGGGGATAAGCATGCGCAAAGGGGAAAGTTTCGGCGCGGCCCCTATCGCTAGGCGACGTGACACCGTGAGGGAAAGGAGGCGCTGCTTCTCCCTAGGCGTCGAAATTCGGCGAAGGAAAGGGAGGCGCAGCTTCTCCCTAGGCGACGAAAGGCCGCGAAGGGAAGGGAGGCGCGGCCTCTCGTCGCCTACGAAGCAAAGCAGCTTCGTCGCGGCCCATTGTACCACAGGGGGATCGCATTCCATGCGATGTGAGGCCACTGTAAAGCCGTGATGATGGTGGTAGGTGGAGTGTCTTGTTTGAAAGCTAGCGCCGCAGCTAGCGCTGTTTCAAGGTCACACACATGTGATGCGGGACATCGAGTGTGAGGGAGGAACCGGAGGTGGTGCAGACCGAAAAGTCGACACTAACTTGTAGATAGACTACGTTTGTGTCGGAAACGAGTTATTTGCCCTGGCTGTTGAGTCACGAAGTGCTTATCTACCGCTTATGCCGCCTGTGGTGGGCAGCGGTTGCCTTTTCAGACACGTGAGAATCTGTATACTTTTGTTCTTCCAAAAGTTTTGAATCACCAGCGAGTCTCGCTGGTGCGGGGTGTTGGGGGGGATCAACTCCCGTGTGGGACGAGGGAACGAAGCTGTAATAGGGTAACCAATTTTTCAAATTTCAAAACTTCTGAACCCACCCTTTGCAAATGTATAAGAAAGCTTTAAAAGTCGCCGCGCCTGAGCTCCTTCGCTGCCCAGCTGTCCGCAAGAGAAGACCAGCAAGAGGAGGAATCCTAGCAACATTTTGACAAGCTTCGATGGGTACTAGCTTGGGATGACTTAGAAGCGAGATCGGTTTGATCAAAAGCGGAGAGCGTTTGCTTGACTGATAGAAATATATGCTGCAGCAGGGTTATGAGGAGTTTTGGGGGTGGAAGCTCTGGACCACCACATGTGCGCTCAAAATCCATTCAGCTCAAAATGAGCCCAATCGCGCTTCGTGAATTATGGGAGGCCCAATAATTCGTAAGATATTGGTTACTGAACGTACATGTGTGATTGTTTTTCGAAAGACGTTGTGCTTTCTTTCTCTAGCTGATCGCCCACCCGTCCTTTCCCTTTCTATCAAGATAGCAAGCCGCGTGCAAGGCGTTATGTATGTGGTTGTTCACGCAACAAACACTTGACAATTGGGTATGTTGAGAAAGTCAGAAACTGGTTTCTTCAAACAGTCGCAGTTTGTGTCCCCGTCAGACAAACAACGGGGGAAGAAAAAAGAAATCGAAACAACAAAATAACATGCTTTTCTGGCTCGATTTCTTCAAATTGATATATCGACGGGATTTTCTGATTCCAGGGAATCTTCTTATCAAGAAAAACAAAACATTTCAAACGTTTCCAGCAACTTCTCACGGGAACATGCAGACCCAAGAAACATTCGGTGTGTGAGTAGCTGCACTGTGAATGTGGATGTAAGTGATTCGCTGATGAAAGGGGATCTATGTACGACAAAAAATATGAGCAGCAATTGAGTTGAATAGGAAGTTCTCCCGAATTGACCCAACAATTCATTACTCGGCCACCAATCGCAGGACCTGCGACGCGGTGGACTGAATAATATAAGTCTCGGTGCGAAGTGCTTGACCTGAACTTCGCCAACGTTCTCGATTGTTCGCAAAGTATTCTGGTTTCATCTCGCGAACTCATTACTCAACACGCTTGGAAAGGGATTTTGTGACCTGGTTACAATCGCTGACCTTTGTTTACCATTCATACCACCTGTTCATTTTTCTGTATATCAATGTACACCTCCTGTGTACAGAATATACCTTAGATTTATCATCATGTTAACATCACTTACACCAGACATTTACCTACATACCGCTCAGTCAAACATCTCCCTGCTATACACCATTTGACAATGCAACTACCGTAATTACCCGACTAATAGCCCCCCCAAAATTATAGCCCCCCGGGTCGTAAAATGGGGGCGGGTCTAATCCTATCTGCACTTTTGTAATAAACCCGCTTTTTTGTAACGGATTCGCAATAGACCCCCCTTCTGTAAACACCCTCCATATCGAGTGAAATAGTGGGAGGAAAAATTCAAGCGAGTCAGAAATTTCCATCTGACAGCAGTCAATCGCCACACGCTGGTCTCGCGCACGTGCGTGGTCAATTTTAGCCCTGACGCGACATTGCGGATGTTCAGTTTGAGCTATAACACTAGTGTTTGATTCTGCCTTAGAGGAAAAAACAACGCATGGGATTAACCCCCGAGTTCAATAAATTTACACCCCGATAATAAATACACCCCATAATTTTACCCGGGGTAGGATAAAACCCGGGGGTGTATTAGTCGGGTAAATACGGTACTTAGAGAGTGCCCTGCAACGACTCTTGCATTCACGTTCATTCCTACATGCAACCATATAGGAATAAACTACATCTATAAGTAGTGCAACCATCGCCCCTATGTCTCTGATTCCTTTGTTGGCAGCGTGTTTGGGCTCAGATGTCTAGGATGGTAGAATTGTCAGAATATTGTGCTGTGTAGGCTGTAGTGGGGTAGCCAATATGAGGTACAACCCTGTTGGGGTTAGTACTTGTACCAAACTGAATCATAGTTCATTCATTCCTGCTGCTAGATTCTGACATGGTATCAGAGCAGGTCCTGTCCCAGGACCGTTCTCGTTAGGGCCCACCCGATTGTACCCTGCCTGTCGCGCAGCCCCACCAATCGCGCATGCCCTGCCCTGCCCTGCGTTGCGCCGCCCCGCGCACGCCCTGCCCTGCCCTACGTTGCGTCGCGTTGCCCGCGCGCGCACTGCCCTACGTCGCGTTGCCCTGCGCGCGCCCTGCCTGCGTCGTGCCGCCAGCGCGTGCCCTGCCCTGCGTCGCGCCGCCCTGCACACGCCCTGCCTGCGTCGCGCCGCGCGCGTACGCCCTTCCCTGCCCGTCCCGCCGCCCGCGCACGCCTTGCCCCACGTCACGCTGCCCGCGCCCGCCTTCCCTTGTGTCGCGTCGCGCCGCCCGCACACGCCCTGCCCTGCGCTGCTCTGCCCGCGCGCTGCTTAGCTGGCTGCGCGTTGCCTGTTCTCTGCCCGCGCGCTGCCCTGCAGCTCGCGCACCGCCCCTGGCAGCCCGCGCGCCGTCCTGGCAGCCCGCGCGCCGCCCCTTGCCTGCCCGCGCGTCCTCCCCTGCCCGCGCGCCGCCCTACTTGCAGCGCGCCGCCCTGCTCTGGCCGCGCGCCGCCCTTCCCTGAACGTGCGCCACCCCGCCCTACCCTACGCGCTAACCCTAGTGCCTGCTCGCCGCCCTACCTTCCCTGCGTGCTGCCCTGCTGGTCACACGCCTCCTTGCTTTGCCCGCTATGACTTCTCTTCGTGGTAGCGGTGGGAGTGGTGGCGACGGTGGTGGCAGCAGTGGGAGTGGTGGCGGCGGCCGTAGTGGCAGTCGCGGTGGAGCTGTTCAGTAGGGAGTTTCTGACAGTGGCCAGATGCAGCTGCAGCGGCGTCCGCGCGAGACCCTTACGTCCCAGCAGCTTCGTGAGTGGTACGCTCAGCGTGGGGCGTCTCGGAGTACTGCTCGCTGCCCGTACGTCATTCGCACAGGTGATCGGGCTGGTCAGACTTGCGGGACAGTTGGCCACACACAGTCCCGCTGCTTCTCCTGTTTGAGCGACGCCTGGTGCCAGAGTTTGGCGACGAGGCTGAGCTCCCCCGCTGGCTAGAGCTGCTTCGGAACAATGTGGATATAATTGCTCTATACTATGATGCTATCCTTACTGCCATGTATGCTTTGACTGTTGGTACTGAGGGTGACTGTTACCTGTGTGTGCCGCCCGACCCTGGTATAGAGGCTGCTGCTCTAGGTGCTAGTGAGTTTGCTCTCTCTGGTACTGCTCCTGCTGAGGCCCTGCGCACCTTCACGCTTGACTCAGGTGCTTCCTGCTGTTTCTTTCGCGACAGTCACACAGTCACACCACTCCTTGCAACCGTAGCACAAGGCCTAAAGCAGTACAGAGACGCTGATGATCACCAGGCGGAAGTGCCTTGGTGAATATATCAGCTGTGTTGGCCCGGGTGGCCACGTAAGCAAGACGAAGTTGACCACGCTGCTGCAACTCTCGAGCAAGGAAGTAACGCAGAGCGATGTGCTTCGTTCTGTGCTCTAGTCTGTGCTCCTGACACAAGGCGATAGCGGCCTTGTTGTCTACGTACAGAACTGGAGGAGAGCTAGGTGGCTCTCCCAAGTCGGTCAGCAGGTAGGTGAGCCAGCGTAACTCCTGTGCAGCCATGGCTCCTGCGTAGATCTCATCCTCACAACTGGAGCTGAGAACAGACGACGAGCGGGTAGACCGCCAAGAAACAGAGCCGGAGCCAAGGCTGAAGGTGTAACCCTGTGACGACCGCTGCGTAGCTAGGTCGTCAACCCAAGAGGCGTCTGAGTGTCCAGTGAGGACAACTCGACCCTGTCCTCCAAGCACAAGCCCCATGCCTGATGTACTGCACAAGTAGCGCAACACCCTCTTAGCAGCCTCCCAGTGCTCTCGCCGGTGTCTCCCGGGCGCAACGTAGCGAGCCAGGATGCTAAGAGGGTACGCAAGGTCAGGTCGAGTGCAGGTTATCAGGTACATGAGGCAGCCCACAAGCTCTGGATACGGGCCACTTGGCTCTACGGACTCGTCCGAAGGTGGAGCTGAGAGCGAGTGACCGGTAGGCAGAGGAGTGGACTGTGGTGAGGAGAACTGGAAGCCGAAGCGCTGAAGAACCTGCTGCACCATGTGTGACAAATTCAGGGTGATGGTGCGCCGTGCTCTGTCCCAGGTGATCTGCAAGCCAAGATAGCTGCGCAGTTCACCCAGGTCTGTGCACGTGTGTCTCTTCTGCAGCTCTGACTTCACAAGGGCCAGTGCCTCAGTGTCAGCAGTGGCAAAAACCAAGTCGTCGACGTACACGAGGATGTAGAACGGCGGCAGCGAAGTGTCTGTGCGCAGAAACAGCGACGGGTCAGCAGTCGAAGGAGCAAACCCGAGAGCCGCAAGTGTCGTCCTCAGTGTGTCGTGCCACTCACGAGGCGCCTGGCGGAGACCGTAGACTGGCCGCCGGAGGCTCCACTGGGTACCTGCAGGAAACGACCCAGTGAAGCCAGGTGGGCGGCGCAGCCAGATCTCCTCGTGCAGGCTGCCCTGTAAGAACGCTGTGCTGAAGTCAAGAGCGCGGGGTCGGGATGTCCAGTGCATCTGGGTCTCCCTCAGGTGCAAGCAGCCAGGCCACGAGATGGGGTACAGCACCCGCAAGACAGTCAAAGTCCTTTCTCCTTCCTGTCCTCAAGGACGTCCGTTCCAAGAGCACACTCACCCTCGACGGACGGAGGACAGACAGACTCAGACCCAGCAACAAGACTAGCGGCGTAGTCTAGACGACACGCAGCAGCAAAGTCCACAAGCTCAGCAACTAAGGCAGACGCAGCAGTAGACTCAAACGAAGGGTCAGTGACGACTGTGGCCAGGAGACGCGTGACAGTGGGGCTGGCAGCACGAACCAAGTCAGACTCAGGGTCCAAAACGTCAGGAAGAGAGGACGCAGGAGGAGACGGCAGAGGGACACGCTGTGGAACAGAGGAAGGATGAAGTGCCATAGTGTGAGTACCTGGCACAGGAGGAGGACGCGGACGAGGGACACGACGAGCACGGCGAACAGTGCGAACAGGGGAGGCAGGACGAGACGCAGGCTCACGACGCTCTGTAAGGGAGGCTGGCTGCTCAGTGTAACGAGGGGGGGCAGGCAGCGGTGAGTCAGGAGGAAGGGCAGTGGACGAAGGAAGACTAAGAACCTGGCGGAGCACCGACTCGGGCGATAGCGAGGACAGATGCCGCGGCGGCAAGAAATGCGGTCATTGCTGCACAGTGCCCCCAGCTCCAGCATCTCCAGCGCTAGGGCCTCCAGCGCCAGCAACACCAGCTCCAGCGCCTCTAGCTCCAGCGCCTCCAGCTCCAGCACCTCCAGCTCCAGCGCCTCCAGCTTCTGTGCCTCCAGCTCCACCACCTACAACTCCAGCGCCTCCAGTGCCAGGAACGCCAGCTCCAGCGCCTCTAGCTCCAGTGCCTCCAGCTCCAGCGTCTCCAGCTCCAGTGCCTCCAGCTCCAGTGCCTCCAGCTCCAGCGCCTCCAGCTCCAGCGCCTCCAGCTCCAGTGCCTCCAGCTCTAGTGTCTCCAGCAGCGCGACTCCGAAGGTGGGTGCGCCGAGCAAATCACTCGCGCAGCTGCTGCGGTGAGAGAGGCTCCTGTAGGCTAGACCGCTGTGCAGAGGCCCCCGTAGGACCTCCAGCAGACGCAGCACCCCTAGGCTCAGCACCCCCAGGCTCCGCACGCTCAGGCTCAGCACCCCCAGGCTCCGCACGCTCAGGCTCATCACCCCCGGGCTCCGCACGCTTAGGCTCATCACCCCCAGGCTCAGCACACTCAGGCTCAGCACCCCCAGGCTCCGCATGCACAGCCTCAGCACCCCCAGGCTCCACACCCGCAGGCTCAGCACCCCCAGACGCAGCACCCCGAGCAGCACCACCCCCAGCAGCACCAGAGTCACCAGTGACCTCGACAGGCTCAGCCAAGGGGAGTGGGTCTACCTGAGACACACCTGAAGGAGCAGGACCCTGAGGGGAAGGGGGTCTACTGGAGAGGGACCTGGAGCAAGGAAGAGTGGGGGGGGGGGGAGAGGGGCAGTGCGGTAGGGGAAGAGACGGTAGAAAGGAACCGACTCGTCAAACGTGACGTCCTGAGAGGACAAAACATGGCGCGTGGTGGGGTGATAAAACTGCCAGCCAGGCGCGTCAGGGGGGAAGCCAAGGAAGACAGATGGAATGGCGCGGGAGGAGAGCTTGTCCGCGGAGGTATCGCGGAAAAAGGCACGAGCGCCTCAGACCAGGAACACCGACGCATCGCCAACCTCCCCTGTCCAACGCAGTGTAGGCGAGGTCTCCGGCAAGGAGACATGGGGCCAGAGGTTGAGCTGATGCGCAGCGTACCGGACCACAAACGGCCACAGAAAATGGGGAGCAGCCGCATGGATCATGGAGGTACGGGCCACCTCCATGACTAAGCCAATGCGGTGCTCAGCAATCCCATTCTGCTGCGGGGAGGCCAGGAGCATGAACGACTGGAGGATGCCCTCCCCACGACAAAAGTCCCGCAGGAGGTGGGAGGAGAACTCACCACCTCTGTTAGAGTGCAGACGCAGGACAGGAAGGTCCGTGCGGAACCGCTCGCGGAGCTGGAGACGAACAGCGCGGATCCAAGGGATCAAGACATCAGGGACCTCCCCTTTGCTGCGCAAGGGGAAGACCGTGGTGTAACGCGAGTAGTCGTCAACAACCAGCAGGAAGTACCGCTCCTCGTCCTGTCCACAGACGCGGGCTGGGCCCCACACGTCCATGTGGAGAGTCTGCAGGGGAGTTGTCGTCGGGGGAAACAAGGAGGAGTAAGGAGCGGCGCGCTGCCGCCCCTCGACGCAAGGAAGGCAGGGCGGGGCAGGCGAGGGTGGGAGGGGAGGGAGAGACCTGGGAAGACCAGAGACAAGGAGGCAGGAGTGAATGCCTCGGAGGCGTGGCAGGGAGGGGTGACCAAGGCGGTGGTGCCAAAGGAGAGTCTGGTGCGACAGGAGGCGACACGAGCAGGGGGCTGCTACCTGGCTTGACGCAGACACCTGTGCAGACGCAGTTACTTGAGGAGGCGCAGTAGTCAGTGTGTACAGACTCGACCCAGGCCGACGAGTGAACGTGGCCAGGTGACGGCCAGTCCGGTAGCATGTGCAGGTCGCCACACGCTGCCCTCCAGGGGTAAAGGTATCAACCCAAGCATCTTGAAGGACTGTGTTGCTCACCAAGGTCTTCGATAACGACGGGATGACAGTGAGACGGACAGAACCCACGGACACGGGAGAACAGTGGAGGAACGTGCAAGAACCGAGCCCCCAGAGGGGTCAGTCAGTGAGACTGCAACAGGTGTAGGAAGTGGTGTGACTGTGGTACTGTCGCGAAAGAAACAGCGGGAAGCACTTGAGTCAAGCGTGAAGGTGTGCAAGGCCTCAGCAGGCGTAGTACCAGAGAGAGCAGACTCACTAGCACCTAGAGCAGCAGCATCTATACCAGGGTCAGGTAGCACATACAGGTAACAGTCACCCTCAGCACTAACAGTCAAAGCATACATGGCAGCAAGGATAGCGTCATAGTCAAGAGCAAAGACGTCAACACCGGACCTAAACAGCTCTAGCCAGCGGGGAATCTCTGCCTCGTCGCCAAACTCTGCGCGCAAAGTGTCGTCAAGGCGGGAGAAGCAGCGGTGCTGTGTGTGAGACTTCCCGCATGTCTGACCATCGCGGCGGTCACCTGTGCGAATGACGTACGGGCAGCGACCACTACCCCCAGACGCCCCACACTGAGCAAACCACTCACGACGCTGCTGGGGCGAAGGGGTGTCACGCGGACGCTGCTGCTGCTGCCTCTAGCCACTGCCAGAACCTCCCCTCTGAACAGCTCCACCCCGATCTCCACCACTGCCGCCGCCACCACTCCCACTGCCGCCACCACCGCCGCCACCACTCCCACCGCTACCACCACCGCTGCCGCCGACGCCCCCAGTCCCGCCACCACTCCCACCGCCACCACCGGCACCTCCACCGCCTCCACCGCCCCCACCACCTCCACCACCGCCTCCCCTGCCGCCACCCCCACCACTCTTGCCTCCCTTGCCCTTGCCGCTGCGGCGCCTCCCACTAGGAGCAGACGCAGCCCCGACCTCCTCAGCACCAAGGAAGTCAACAGCAGCAGCAGAAGCGACAGAGGGGGCAAGGGGGGAGGGGGAACACCCCTCAAAGAAGGGAGTGCGAGGAGTGCCACGAGTAGCAACTACAGTGACGATGCTAGTCTCAGCTGCAAGGAGGTGCTTCTCGAGCAGGTCGACAGTGAGGTCTGTGGGGTCCAGTGCGAGAAAGGTGTACCTAACTGCGCGAAGAGAGTCAGGGAGGCGGGTGACTATGAAGTAGAGCGTGATGTACATCGGGGGTGGGTTATTGTCTAAGAACTCGACTTTAAGTTCGACGCGGTAGCGAGTGTCGCTAGTGCGAAGGTGGGTGATGAGGTCCTCAACTGTGGCAAAGGAGGACAGCTCGGGAAACAGGTAGGGCAGTATAAGGCGGCCGAGAGCAACAGTGGCAGGGGAAGAGTAACGAGCGACGACAGTGTCGTACAGGGCCTTAGCAGTCTTGTGCTGGCCAAAGTGAGCGCGTTCGGCTAACGGCAGGTGGTTGCGAACGGCTAGGCGAGCAGCAGCGTCACGGGTAAGCCACTGTGAGCGAGTAAGACTGTCAGGTGTGTCGGGAGGAGCGAGAGAGGAACCAGACGTGTGGTCAAACAGTGAGATGCCGTCTTTAGAATCGCTCAGTAGATACAGTTGTAAGTCATCGAGCCAAGTATCGAACTGGATCGGGCGACCATCTGGATCGAACGTGAGAACACTGAGAATAGCCATAGTGGGCAGAGCAGGGTGGTGCGTGACGAGCAGGGCGGCGCGCGTGCACGTAGGGAAGCGCTAAAGGCAGGAATGGCGGCGCGCGGGCTGCAAGGGCGGTGCGCGTGCTGCAAGGGTGGTGCGCGGGTTGCCAGGGGTGGTGCGCGGGCTGCAAAGGGCGGCGCGCGGGCAGGAAGGGGTAGCGCGGGGGCTGCAAAGGGCGGCGCGCGGGCTGCAGGGGAAGCGCGTGGGCTGCAAGGGCGGCGCGCGGGCTGCCTGGGGCTGAAAAGGGCGGCGCGCGGGCTGCCAGGGGCTGCGCGCGGGCTGCGAAGGTCGGCGCGCGGGCAGGAAGGGGCAGTGCGCGGGCTGCAAAGGGCGGCGCACGGGCTGCAGGGGCGGCGCGCGGGCTGCAAGGGTGGCGCGCGGGCTGCCAGGGGCTGCGCGCAGGCTGCAAAGGGCGACGCGCGGGCAGGAAGGGGGGCAGCGCGCGACTTCAAAGGGCGACGCGCGGCTGCAAAGGGCGACGCACGGCAAGCAGAGCGGCGCGACGGTTAGGGTCGGGTAGGGCAGCGCGACTGGTGGGGTAGGGCGCTAAGGGCAGCTAGCGAATCGGTGGGCCCTAAAAAACGGACCTGCTGTCAGAATCCCAGCCACTAACCATTGGCGCCGTCTGCTGAACCACCTCTGCCGGCTGCTCCGATGCCTGCTGCTCCACCGCCTGCTGCTCCTCCACAGGCTGCTGCAGATTGCGTCGGAGTGGTATATATATTGCACTGCCCGTACGAAGATTGGTGTAAGATTCCGGCTGTAAGGGGGAATTGGGGAGGGAATTGGGAGCAGCTGAGATTAGCAAGGTTTCGAAGCTCACTGAACTTGCATGATGATCATGACCATGGGGTGCAGCTGTGATACACTGGCAAGCAAGAAAACGACTCATTTGCCAGGCCCACGAATTCATTTTCCTCTCGTCACGAACGTCACGTCTTACGTAGAACGATCTCTTCGTGATCGCTTAGAAGTCGCCGCCCCCGAGCTCCTTCGCAGTCCCGAGGCCCGCATGACAGGACCAGCACGATGAAATTCCAAGCAACATGTTCGCAAGAAATCGTTAGTGCAGTTATGCAAAGTGACAAGTTTTGAGTTCTAATTTTTCGTGATGTAAGCTGAAGATTCACAAGCTTCCAATGCTTTTGAAGTTCTAGATCACCGCCTGTGCGCTGAGCTTTCTTTCAGCGCAGATCACGCCCAAACCAGGGCTCAGGTTTGGATTTGGCCTACTCACGATTGGCAGTGTAGCTTTTTCAAAAACCCTTATGGGCAGTGTGTACTTTTCCGTTATACTGATAGAGCAGTGTAACATCAGGTTTTGAAATTTTTACCCTGCATCATCAGTGTGGTTTTTTTTCAACACAAACAACTAGAAATTTGGGGGGGTGGAGGAATGGCGGTGTGTGGCGAAACCACTTGCTGTGCTTGCTGAACCAACACGGCAATGCATCCAGATAGAACCACCATGGCCGCCTCGGTGGGTGACGCGGATAGCATTTCCACGCACCGACAGTTGCTTTAGTTAGTGTAGTGTTCGGTTTCGTGGCGTGCTGGCAAGGGAATCATTCCTAACAGACCAATCGGACACGTAACTGCGGCCAACGCACGTACTCCACGGAAGAAATCCTCGGTGCTTCCGTGAGGGAATCACGATCTGACAAATTTCGGGGAAAAGGGGGGGGGGGGAGAGGGGGGGGGGGGGGGGGGGGTCTCTGTACGCTATTCAGTGTAATCTTCGCTAAGGGAAACTTTACCCCAAGGCATCAGTGTGGCCTATGTCGATACACTTACAGATCAGTGAAACACTAATTCTCCAAAAAATTACCCCAGCACATCAGTGTAGACCCAAAATTTCACCCTTGTAATCAGTATAGAAGGGTAAATTACACTGATAACCTGAGCCCTGGCCCAAACGCGCTTCGTGAATTATGGGAGCCCCATAATAATTCAGTTCACACACATCAGTTCCAATTTCGTGAGGAAATTTTCGCGGAGTGCTGGATTCGTACTTCGCCGACATATTATATTGTTCGCAAAAGAGATTCTCGTTTCATCTCGCGATTTACTTTAATCCCCCGTATATAGGACCCCCCCCCCCCAGTTGTAGACCCCCGGGTCTATAATACGGACCCGGGTACTCTATTAGAGTACATCTGAGTTATACCCCCTAAATGGCTCCAAACATTATAAGACCCCCCCACATCCTAGAGAAGTGTGGATTTTACAAACAAGCAATCGAAAATGACTGTGCAGCCTGCACGAAGCGTGCATGGGGTTGTCAGAATCTAGAGACAAGAATGAATGCATTGATCAAGAGTTGGGTACATAAGCTAACCCTAAAATTGGGTTGTACCCCATATGGGCTACCCCACTAGCAGCCTACACAAACACAATATGCATAGTTTGACACACCCCCATAGGCAAAGTGGGGGAGAACAAGGGGTCACAAGACCAGTCAAGAGAAACAAACCAAGCTCAGGGTGGATCACAACGTCACCACACAGACTGAGCACAAGCAAAGGGCCACAAGGCCAGTCCACATGCAGAGGTATATATGCAACAAACAAAGTACAGTGATCACTACCTAGCAAGAGCAAGCATGCAGGTATATATATATAAAGATCACAGTACAGACAGAGTCTACAGCAAGTGTGAAAACGTAGGCACAAGGCCCAACAAGGTACAAAAGCGCTGATGATCACCAGACGGAAGTGCCTTGGTGAAGATATCAGCAGTGTTGGCCCTGGTGGCCACGTGTGCAAGACGAAGCTGACCACGCTGCTGCAACTCTCGAGCAAGGAAGTAACGCAAAGCGATGTGCTTCGTTCTGTGCTCCAGTCTGTGCTCCTCACACAAGGCAATGGCTGCCTTGTTGTCAACGTACAGAACTGGAGGAGAACGAGGCCGCTCTCCCAGGTCGGTCAGCAGGTAAGTGAGCCAGCGCAGCTCCTGAGCAGCCATGGCGGTGGCGTAGATCTCAGCCTCACAACTGGAGCTGAGAACAGAAGACGAGCGAGTAGAACGCCACGAAACAGAACCAGAGCCGAGGCTGAAAGTGTAACCCTGTGACGACCGCTGTGTAGCCTGGTCGTCAACCCAAGACGCGTCTGAGTGCCCAGTGAGGACCACCTCTCGCCGTCCTCCAAGCACGAGCCCCATGCCCGATGTACTGCACAAGTAGCGCAGTACCCTCTTCGCAGCATCCCAGTGCACCTTTCGGTGCCGACCAGGAGCCACGTAGCGGGCCAAAAGGCCAAGAGGGTACGCAAGGTCAGGACGAGTGCAAGTCATCAGGTACATGAGGCAGCCTACTAGCTCTGGGTAAGGACCACTCGGCTCTACGGACTCGTCCGAAGGTGGAGCTGAGAGCGAGTGACCTGTAGCCAGAGGAGTGGACTGTGGTGAGGACCAGGTGAAGCCGAAGCGCTGAAGGACCTGCTGCACCATGTGTGACTGAGTCAGAGTGATGGTGCGACGTGCTCTGTCCCGGGTGATCTGCAAGCCAAGGTAGCTGCGCAGCTCACCCAGGTCTGTGCACGTGTGTCTCTTCTGCAGCTCCGACTTCACCAGGGCGAGAGCCTCAGTGTCAGCAGTGGCAAAGACCAAGTCATCGACGTACACGAGGATGTAGAACGGCGGCAGCGAGGTGTCGGTGCGCAGAAACAGTGACGGGTCAGCTGTGGAGGGCGCAAACCCGAGAGCCGCAAGCGTAGTCCTCAGTGTGTCGTGCCACTCACGAGGCGCCTGACGGAGACCGTAGACTGGCCGGCGGAGGCTCCACTGGGTACCAGGAGGGAACGACCCAGTGAAGCCAGGTGGGCGGCGCAGCCAGATCTCCTCGTGCAGGCTGCCCTGCAAGAAAGCTGTGCTGAAGTCAAGCGAGTGAAGCTCGTAGTCACGCTGGGCGGCAACGTGCAGCAGTACCCGAAGAGTGGTCATCTTCGGGGTGGGGGAGAAGGTCTGGAAGAAGTCAACCCCCTCTCGCTGACTGAAGCCTCGAGCAACGTAACGTGCCTTGAAGACAGGCGGAGAACCAGGCGGCCGCTTCACCCTGAAAATCCACATGCCACTGACGATGTTCGCCCCAGGAGGGGGAACGTCGTCGACGTAGGTGCCTGTGGACTTCCAGGATGCCATCTCTGCGTCCATGGCTGCCTGCCACTGAGAGGAGTAGGGACCCGCGACCGCCTCAGCGTACGAGCGCGGGGTGGGGATGTCTAGTGCATCCGGGTCTCCCTCAGGGGCAAGCAGCATGGTCACGAGATGAGGCGCAGCGGCTGCAAGACACTCAAGGTCCTCGTGCCTGTCCTCAAGGACGTCCGTGCTAAGAGCACACTCACCCCCGACGGACGGAGGACAGACAGACTCAGACTCAGCGACAAGACTAGCAGCGTAGTCTAGACGACAGGCAGCCGCAAAGTCAACAAGCTCAGCAACCAAAGCAGTCGCAGCAGCAGACTCAAACGAGGGGTCAGTGACAACAGTGGCGAGCAGACGCGTGACAGTAGGGTGCTCAGCACGAAACCGGTCAGACTCAGGGTCCGGAACGTGAGGCAAGGAAGACGCAGGAGGAGACGGCAGAGAAACAGACTGCGGAACAGAGGAAGGACGACAAGGTGTGCGGTGGGGACAGGCGGCGAACGCGGACGCGGAACACGACGACCGGTACGACCAGGACAAACAGGCGAGACAGGACGCGACGCAGGCTCACGACGCTCAGCAAGACTACCTGTCTGCTTAGTGTAAGGAGAAGGAGCAGGCAGCGGTGAGCCAGGCTGTAACGGAAGACCAGTAGACGACGGGAGAGTAAGAACCTGACGAAGAACAGAGTCAGGCGGCGGCAGAGACGACGGAGACGGCGGAGCGAAGAACAGTCGTGGCGGCGCAGCTGCACCAGTACCGGCAGCTCCAGCAGCTCCAGCAGCAGAACCGACACCGCCAGGCCCAGGGTCTCCAACCCTAGTGCCTCCAAC